AAAAAAAAAAAAAAAAAAAAAAAAAAAAAAAAAAAAAAAAAAAAAAAAAAAAAAAAAAAAAAAAAAAAAAAAAAAAGGAAAAAAAAAAAAAAAAATGAAAAAAAATGGAACCCCACCCCCAAAAAAAAAGACTGAAAAAAAGGGGAAAAAAAATCGTCGACAATCGACAAACAAATCAACGAGCCGCTTGCTTTCGACGACAAAAAAAAAGTTGAACCTACGTACCCTTTACCCCCCCCCAAAAAAGCCCAGAGTCGAGACTTGTCGACGACCAAAAAATAAGATAAGATCCAATGCAGGAAGGAAGGAACTAGCGGGGGGGGAGGGGAGGAACGGAAGATCTCTCTGAGGAATTTAACAACTGCAGGAGCATTCTTCATATCTCGCCTCCTGGCCTCCCCTGAAAACAAGATGTTGCAACAAGGGGGAAGGACAACCGTCGTCAGAGCACTCCCGAGGGATGCAGTCAGAACATGGGACTCCCTGTTCACCCGTCACGCAAGCAACTGGGCCTTCCATGACGATGCAGCCTTCAAATCCACAAATGACAAGGTGGGATGAATTAGAGAGAAATTAGCGGCATTCAAAGGATCTCCTGCGAGTGCGTGCGAACTGTTCCTGATCCAACCCATCTCGTCATCTGTCCTCACCGTCCTGTGCATATCAGAGACTGACAAAAAAACAATGAACGGATGAAAATCCCTCCGTTGTGAAAGATCGGAAGTTCGCATTTAGCCCTAGGCCCCTCTGAAACCGTAGCGACCTGAGGAGCGCAGGGAACATATGATGAGGGAGCACTTCTGGGTGGAATTTCGGCATATCCCGATCAAAATCCAAGCAGCATTTGTCCAGGATTTCGCCGAAAAGTATGATGTAGTTGACTTCATTGACCCGTTGCCCCCTCGTGTGGCTCGGAGGGATGACTATCTGATGCTAGCCATTAACCTTGTAGATGATCACATTTTTTCAATCGACGACGTTATCCCCTTTTGTGTGGGGGGTAAATTGTACCGCATCCACACAGTCCACAAACACAGGCCTTGGTGCTTTAAATGCCAAGCTTACAGGCACCTATATTCTGACACGGCCTGCGCCTGCCACCCCTCACACACAGCAAAACCCACAGGCCGATTACGGAAGGATCCCTTTGACGAATCCAGGTGGCGGACGGTTGACCCGGGTCATGAAGGGTGGGTCTACATTGACACACCTGGCAAGAAGCAGGGGGAAGTAGTTGGTTGGTCATGGGAAGGGCAGGGTGACCCGCGGCAGGATTCCCAACCACCAGCAACATGGATCCCCCCTAACTCCCTAGAAACACATTTGAAGTGTCCCCCCACAAGGACCAGGAAGCAGGAAACTTGGGAGATTGTCGGAAGTAAAAAGAAGGAAAATTTGCAGAAGAAACTGACAGGAGCAGACAAAGAGGTTGGTAACAGGGGTGCAGACAGAGAGGTTGGTAACAGTGGTGATAATGGCAACCGTTTTGTCGGCTTAGAGAATGGGTCAGACAGGTCGGAACAGAAGCATCAGGAAGAGTTGTTGTTAGACCAAGGTCGGAGTGGGGGGGAGGAACAGGTCCTCGGGGAAAAAACAGCCCAAGACCACAAGGTGATCCCAGGAG